TATCAATAAGAAATGTTAAGGTTATTAACCATTTTGGGAGAAAATAAACTTTCAGGATTAAAGTGATAAAAGGTCGATACTTAAATAACTAATTACTAAATTTAGCATGATTTCATTTACAACCCCGCATCTTCCCTCTTCTCCATTTTCAACCCTTCTCAGCGCTCAGCCTTACCTGTCCGGCACAATCTCCCCGGACTTTAATTCCGGCGGTTTTTGATCCGTGAAGAAACCCACCAGCTCGAGATCCCAAATCATATCTGACAAAATCCCTTTCTGGTGCTGTTTCGTTTTCCTTCTCCTTGCCTTTTTGAACCATTAATCCGCATCTAATTTTCCATTACATTTGATAGTTTTTAGTTTTCTAGTTCTTGTAGATGTTTCTCAAATTCTGAGTTACACTAAACCCCTCCCCTGTGTAGTACTGGCGCCTCTGCTCTTCCATTTTCGCATTTCTAACTTGGGGTTTTGTTCTTAGGCTCAAAATTGCATGCTTTCATTTCAATCCCACTATCCTATTTGTCATTTTGTTTTTCACATTTCTGAAACACAGTCCTCTTTCAGTATTTCTGAATTCTAGCCTGATAATTGTAGCTAAGCCATCTTAATATCCAGAAATTTTATTATATTACTGCAGTGCTTCCCCGTATACCATTTGCCAAGATGCAGTGTTTATACAGCAGCCTCCGCATATTCTATAGAACCCCATTGGCGAATTCACTATGTACTTGTGTCCCTTGCTCCAAATTATTTGTTGACGGTCTCTTCTCTAAACCTTTTTATCTTTTTTTTTTTTTGTATTTTATTTTATAGGAGACAAATTTGTGTAAGTTGAAAGCTTCCATTTTTTTTTTTTCACTTTATTCTCTCCACAACCAAATGGTGGCATTCTGCTTCCTGTAATGGTTGAGGAAATGTTTGAAAGATAGTGTTTTTATACTTTTATTGAGTTGCTGTCGGCTTCCCAGTAATCAGTATTTGCTCTAGGTGGAAGATGGAATTTCTGCAAAGTGGTTCTCTTTCTTTTAGAGGTTAATACAGTGAACTGTATCCATAGTTTAAAGGAGTATAGTATTTGTCTTGACAAGTTGAAACCTTTGCATGCGCTGTTTCTGATACATTAATGGGTATGCTGCTTTCCAAGAATTTAAAAATTGAAATGAATTCATGCAAGTCATATGGTAACAAAGCATAGCTTCAAACAACTAAGTTGCTCTCTTTTATGTTAATTTTTCTTGAATTTTGTGGTCAATATATGGTGTAAGTGACTGCACTATTCCATGATGGTTCTATCACCTTTCACCCATATAGTGATATATGATTGTAATGTAATCTTTTCAGCTGAATTATATAATTTAAAATCCTTCAAGGATTATCAACATGGAGCTGTAGATAAAACCCTATGGAAAACCAAATTTGAATCCTTGGAAGTTCCTAATGACTTGGATTCTATCTGATAAAAAAATTGTGACTGAAGTCTTCTCATCCATTTCCTCCAAAGTTTCTTGTCAATGATATGATTTAATTCTAGGGTTAATGATGAAGTTTGCAAGCGTTTGTTATTGCAGGGCTTTCATTTGATACAAATGAGACAGTTTTGAGGGATGCTTTTCAAAAATATGGTGACATAATTGAAGGTAATCATTGTGATATTATTTCTGGACCTTGAAAAGTTTTTAAGTATTAGGAGGTAATCACTATGATATTTTAGCAGTCAAAGTTATATGTCATCATGTGACCGGCAAATCAAGAGGGTATGGATTTGTGAGGTTTGCATCTGAAGTTGCAGCAAGGGCTGCTCAAAAAGAAATGAATGGTCAGGTGTGTTGAAGTATCATGAGAAATTAATATTTTTTCTAGACAAATGAAACCAATCATTCACCTTCTTTCTTCTAAATAAATTAGCAAATAGCTACTGTTACAAGCTTACCTCGTATATTGTGGTGGTTTTCAGGTGCTGGATGGTAAAAATATTTTTGTGGAGTATGCACACCACCAGGGTTGAGAATTTAAAATGAAGGTATGATTCATACTCAGTTTATTACCTCATTTTAGCTGATCTACATACATAGAGTAACTTGTGTTATTGATTTTTGTATTGTATGGTTGAAAGGTATCATACATTTAGTAAGTTTGACTTGACTTATTATGATGGGTGAGTGCTATTTGATGCATGGTGATGATTTGGACTACGGGATGATTTAAGACCTCAAGAACAGCGTTAGTGATTGATTTTAGTTAGCCATGCTGTTGAACTACCTGCATTCCAGGGATTAGCAGCCTAAATGCGAACCAAGACTTTCTTTTGGTGTGGGGTTTTGCAGCATTAGTTTATTGTGCTCAATAGAATTGTCTCCCTTTGTCATTTGTGGTATATGGTATTCCCTAAGATCTAAAAGGTCCACTCTAGCAATCAGCTGGCCTTTTATATTTTCTAGGCATAGCTTCCTTTTTCTACCATGATTAATAGCTACTTGCATGGTCTCGTAAAATTAAGACTTTGTTCTATGCGCAGGGATGATATAGCGAAATGATAGTTTTTGAGGCAGTCAAATGATTGGTGGATTGCATACCCGGCTCTCAACAGCATTCCTTCTCGTGTTCTGGCTAGCTCTTCCAATTCTAGCTCTTCACAATTTACCTCATTACAAGAAAAGATTTATGATCCTTCAGAAATCAGAAATTAGTTAAACCGACAATTGGTAAAATCCATGCCCCTGGAATTACAGTGAGCCTTGTCCATAAAGGGAGTCTGCAACGTTCTAGCAGCATTTTCATGCCCTTCCTTGGAAGCCAGTTGTGACCAGAATTTTTCTAACTAATTACTTGTAGAAGATGGCACCTTTTTTTTCCTTATAATTGCTTGCTTTCAATCAAAAGACTCGATGGTTGGGTTTTGCAGTGTACTTCATTCATTTTCCTTTTCTCATCATAGCGAATTGGAAAATAATTTGATTGAAAGAAAGTTAGTTTTTATGATATCACATACCAATTTTTCTTCAAATTATCTTTATTTCCAACTGATGTGAAGAGCCTAGCCTAGTTCAAAGCAACTAAAGTTTGTACCATCAATTCCGTCCTTGATTTTGAGTTTTGCCTTTGTAAAATGATAATTATACCAACAAAGAATGAATTGATTTCTATTAAAAATTTAAAATGATAATCCAACGGATGGATGTGGTAATAACTCTTACTAAAGAAAGCTTTCCAAGTTTCAACTTCCAAAAATCCCTTTTCCTCATAAAGCAAAAAGTATTTTATTTAGAGAAAATGAACTTGCATTACCGTTTTTGGCTTGAAAATCCCCAGAAGAAAGTCCTTCCTCTATTCAAAGTGACTGAACAAGAACAGAAGGTACCGAATCCATTTCCTAAGTCTGCAGTATGTACCTGTTAGTTGAGGCAAATTCTGCACATGCAGCTAGCTGCATGCCGAACCACGTTATCATCTTCAAAGCCAAATCCAATTAAATGAGAGCATCTGACAACTCCTCTAGACCACACTCAAAAGTTCATACTACCCAATGGAATACTATTGCAAAGGTAGAGGATGTAACTGATGCCTTTACTTCTTGTATGAGAATTCAGCTTCCAACTCCTTCCGGAGCACTTCTTGAGACTTGGTTCTTGCTTCAAAAACAAGATCATCCAGAAACCCTCTTTGTGGGAATTCATCAGGTACAAGCCTCTGATAAATTTCAAACTGTTCCGCAGCTTCCTCCTCCTTGCCCAGTAAACCATAGATTAACCCCTGCAACATATTAGCACAACAGTCCTTAACTGAACAATTACAGAAAATTTATTTATTTCACTTATTAATTTCCTATTAATCTGAAAACATTTTGCTTCATCTCAGACTTCCAAATACGAGACAAGTTGTCATGGGCACTCCGACTTATAAAGAATCTTTAAAAATGCCTTCCAACCCCTCTTATGGTAAGATAACCAGTAAATGTATATGGTTGGCAAAAATTACTTGGCATAGATAAGGCCTGAAATCTCGAGGATCGTCATCTACCAAATCTTGAAATTTCTTCAAACCTTCTTCCAGCTCCCCCTGCAAGGCCCTCAAGTATTTATGAATATTAGGAATGAGGAGGATTTTGATTTCTCAATTACTCTTATACAAAGCAATGCACAGTTGCTTCTAATTCTTTGACATCTGATTTTCATTTCACTAGGCCACACAATCCAGTATAATTTTCTAATTTGAAGCAATTTTGTAATTATTCCAAACTAATGAGTCTGCCTGAGCTTATAAGGGGAAAAACAAGATAGATTGATCGAGATTCCAATGAACATGGAGAACACTACTCTGCCCAAAGAAAGAAAGAAAAAAGAAGAGATATAATAAAAGACAGCTCTCCCAATTTGAGCAGCTAGAGCTAAAAAGAGAGTAAGAAGGCACCTTTGCAACATGCATTTGTGCAATTAAAATTCTTATGTTTCTCTCATCAGTGACCCTCTTTTCATGACGAGCAACATCTAGAGCCTTATTTAGCATCTCAAACACAGCTGGGCCTTCATGGTTTTTTTGCATTGCCATTGCTAGACCCTGGAAAAAGAGGAGTCATATGCTTCATCTTTCCTCTACTAGTATTATTTTCTGGCATTTTTTTGTTAATAATTGAAGTCAAAGTAAGGAACTAGCTCCAAAGTTTACTAATTAATAATTACAACTGAAAATAAATCTCAAGAGTCGTTTATCTATAATCAAAGAAGAAGGCATCCAAATAGGCACTCCATGAATGAATAAATATATTACAAAAAAATTCAAAATAAATTGAAAGTCAGCCAAAATTCATTCATTCATAGATGAAAAACTTCAACACCAATTTTTTCAACACGGCTCATAGCTGCTACATGACTTCACTGGGTTTCTACAGTATATGGAAACCTCCTGGCACTGTTCATTCAGGAACCACAATTTCCCATTCCAGCATTCTCAATCAATTTCCTTTACTGCATGCTACCACAGTCTCCCCTTATATCACACCATGCAACAAGAAAAACTACATCGCCATCAATGGCCAGAAAGATTACTAAAGAGTTAGGAAAACTAATAATAACCTAAAATAACACCTGAATAATCATAATAACATAGCAAGCCTAAAATAAATACTGTAAGTAACTCTTCCATAGATGTCCCGCATCAAAAAATAAGATATCATAGAAATGCAAATGAAAAAACATACTGCAATGGCCAAAAGGAAGGAAGAAATAGCATACATGTAAAGCTCTGATCCAAATAGGCCTATCCTTCAAAATTTCTTTGAACAATCTCGTGGCCTTATTCAGTTCTCCCATGGTCTCATAACAAAGTGCCTCTAAAAGCTTCCACTCAAACTCTTCCGGCTCAATCTTAATCAACTCCTCCACGTACTGCAGAGCCTCCTTAGTCTTCCCTCCTCTCATCTTCTTATACAGAGCCACCTTTAATGCGTCCACATTCCTCGGCTCCTTCTCCAAA